TCAAAAGCTCCTCTTTGCATTCTTTAAGCACCCTGGCAAACACTTCATCCGGCCCTGGGGATTTGTTTGGTTTGAGTTTTACTATTTGTTTAAGAACATCCTCCCTGGTAACTGCTAAACTCGTCAACCTGTCCTCGTCCCCACCCACATAGACTTGTTCGGCTGAAGGCATATTGTTAAGTTCCTCTTTAGTAAATACAGATACAAAATATTTATTAAAAATACTACTCATCTCTTCATCACTATCTGTTATTTGACCTGTCTCAGTTTTTAATGGACCTATCCTTTCCCTAGTCTTAGTACGATATAACTGAAAAAACCCTTTAGGATTTGTCTTTGCTTGCCCTGCTATGCGAACTTCATAGTTTCTTTTTGCTTTCCTTATCTCTTTTTTAACATTTCTAACCAGTTGTACGAATTCCTGTTCTAAAGTGACCTCCCCATTTTTAATCCTTTTGTACCAAGCTCTCTTTTTACCTATAAGGTTCTTCAAATTCTTTGTTATCCACTTTGGGTCATTAGTATACGATCTATTCAATTTGTATGGTATACTACGTTCCTGTGCTTTGTTTAGAATATTCTTAAATAAGTTATATATTGAATCCACATCGAAATCCCCATTTAAGTCACCTATCGCTGGGTTCATGTCTCGCTCCAAGACCGGCCCACACCCCATACCCAAGCCTTTCCAATCAATTTGACCCAAAAAATTTCTTAGGCTATTAAAATCAGCTTTTCGAAAATCTGGCACTTTAACAGAATTTTCTCCTACTGGTCTATTCCATTCTATGCTAAATCTGATTTCTTTGTGATCACTGCTCCCTAGCTCACTCCCTATTTCGATGTCATTAATTTGCGTTTCCCTGTTAGTTAACACTAAATCTAAAATATTATTTTCCCGTGTTGGTTCCTTAATGTGTTGCGTAAGAAAGCAATCGTCAATTAATTCTAGAAAATCTTCTGCTTCACTATTCCCTGTTTTGTTCAACCAGTTTATTCCGCTAAAATTAAAGTCACCCATGACATAAATACTGTTAGATCTAGATGCTCTAGATATTTCATCCCATAGATGCTTTGCTTCCATTCTGTCTAAATTTGGTGGCCTATATATTACTCCTATTATAATATTATTAGCTTTTTCGTTTAATTCAATCCAAATAGTTTCTGTGCGTGGCTCTGTTTTGATTCCCTCTTTGAGACTACATTTCAAATTGTCCCTAACATATATGGCTACTCCACCTCCTCGTCTAATATATCTATCTGTGTGAAATAGTTTAAATCCATATATTTGATATTCAGCTAATAGTTCTCTATTTTCTACATTCATCCACGTTTCGGTAAGTGCAATAATATCTATTTTTTCTGTGCAGACAAGAGCATTTAATTCGTTAATTTTATTTCTTAGACTTCTACTGTTAGTGTAATATACCCTAAGTGAATTGTTATTTTGCGGACCTTCTCTTTCCCTGATCGTTTTGCCAATTCCTTTCTCCCACAAACACATACTTTTATTACCTCCTTCCTCCAAATCAATTCCCATACCTCTATCTACTAACAGTTTAAACCCAAACAAACACCTCTAACCACTTCTTCTAGCGAGTTTGCAACAGCAACAACCCCAGCTCTCGATAGATGCACCCCATCACGAGCATACATTTCATTTCTTCCATAGAAGTGTTCCCAGTTGTCTATGAAAGATATTGCATTTGATTTGCAATATCTTTCCAGCCGGCAATTGACACCAAGTGCCCTCGATATCCATTCATTTCCCACTCCCTTTCTTGGAAGAATGCCACATATGATCGGGATTCCTCCCTTGCTCCTAACTAACTCTATGGCTGTTTTATACCTCTGAATCAGTTCCTCACTCCTGACTCGACCAACATCATTTCCTCCCACGCTAATGCAAATAATGGGATTGTTCCCATTACCAGCCATAATATCATTCATGTTGTTTATAATATCACCAATGCCAGCTCCGGGATAGCAAACCCTTAACCTGTTCCCCCTATCTCTAGCACAAAACGTTCTATCCAAATACCTTATCTGGGAATCTCCTACAACTAATGTTTGCTTAGGTACTTCCTTTACTTTCTGAGGGGCCTGCGCTTCCTTTCTCTTCGTTGCTTTCCCTTTTGCGCGATCCACAGTCTCTCCACAGCACTCGTCCTCCAAAACGTCACATGAATTTGAAGTTGCTATGGCGTTTGAAGGCGGCTTTATCAAAGTCTTCTTAAGGCCCCTGTCTTTCGCAACTCTCCAAGACGAGGTCCCTTTACTGCTGGTCTCCTCCTTCGTTACTTCTCGTTGTTTTTTAAGCTGACGCACCTCCTCCCGCAGAGAGTCCAACTCAGTCCTCAGGGCTCCCACTAGAGTCACCAGGTCCTTCACTACAACTTCCATATTGCTATGATAATATAACAACACTCGCGATAAGTGATAAGGGAATTTCTGTTCTTCATTCATCTAGGTGATAATAGTAGATACTGTTATATAGTGATCCTCAGCTAATAATGCTATATTATTTGATCACTAGTAAATATAGTATCAGTTAATAATTCTTTGGAAAAAATACTGATATGAAGTGAGAATTGAATACAATTCTCTGAAATGAAGACGTTATCTTTCCCTGGGCTGAGTTGTCAGATGCAACTCCGCCACGATGGCTGAGTTGTGAGGTGCAACTCCGCCACGATGGCTGAGTTGTCAGGTGCAACTCCGCCACGATGGCTGAGTTGTGAGGTGCAACTCCGCCACGATGGCTGAGTTGTGAGGTGCAACTCCGCCACGATGGCTGAGTTGTGAGGTGCAACTCCGCCACGATGCAGGAAAGATTTGGTGCAGTTATTACGCAGTAGGAAATATATTATTATTGTTAGTCTGCAAATTAGTATTATTCGTAAATTATGATTATTAGTACAAGGATGATCTATCGAAGTACTAAAATGAGGAATAGGTGTTGGAAATTTCTAACAGTGATAGACTTGTGAGTGCAGGTGCGGCATAATCGATCACTGCTCTGACTGCCTGTACATAGTATGTGTGAAGGACTTGCAGATTGGCTCCTCCAGAGAGGCAGGTCAGCGACCTGAGGATTGCCGTCCGGGCCGCAGTTCGCTCTCTCAAGTAAGTGACCTCAGCATTAAAATTCATGTCTGTGTCCAGGAATATTCCTTGACACTGATAAGTGTTCATCCATTCAATTGGTTGACCCTGTACTGTGAGTTTCTTGTTCTTGTAGGCCCCGCCTAACCACTCTGCATACTTCGCCTCAACGCAGGTCACACTCCAAACATGTTTCAGGTTAGGTTATGGTCTGTAGGTTTCATTTCCTTGGCCTGTAACCTGGGGCTGGTCCTCTCCCCCAGTTCGGTTGAGATCTGCCAGCACAGCTGCTCTAACAAGGTGGTCCTTTATAGACTTACCTCGCCTCCAGGCGATCATGGGAGGGTTTTGTGGGAATTTTACCCAGGATGGATGTTCACTGTACGTTTCCCTCATCCATGTCCATACTTCCTGGAGTGTTATCTTAAGCTGTGCTGCAAGGCCGGGGAAGAAAAGGGTTGGGAGAATCCATCTCTTGTCTTCCACTTCTTGTGTTCTAGGTCTGAGTAGCTCTGCCCTTGTTTTTTCTCTGAATTTTTCCTGGGCCGCATGTATTATTGTCTGTGGGTAATCTCTGTTATCATATCCCATACGTCATCAAGCTGGGAATATAGCGTCTCTTCTTTGCTGGTAATCCGCTTGAGTCTGAGTCCAAGTGAGTAGAGTAGCGATTTCTTCAAGGCTAGTGGGTGGCTCGAGTCAAATTTCAGATATGTGTGAAGGTTAGTCGGTTTATAGTATGCCTTCGTATGCAGATCCCTGGTCAGCTTGTCTATATTCACTGTTGTATCTAGGAAATTTATTGTAGAGTCACTATGTTCGAGGGTAAACTTAATGTTTTCATGATATGTATTTGACCATGAAAAGAAACATTGTAGTCACATGAAACCATCCTCCATTATTCCGAAGATGTCGTCTATGTTACGGAAATATACCGCCGGTCTGTAATCCCTGTGGGATCTTTTTCTCTCTCGAACACTACATGCACAAAAATTTCAGCGATTGCCACACTTCTGGATGCTCCTATCGCTGTACCCTTGGTTTGCCGGTATGCCCGTCCTTCAAATTGCAAAAGGGTGTCTCTCATCACATGGAGGATGGCCTTCTCAAGAGTGTTTTACTAGGGGAAGTCCTCCATACTCCTGCGTCTCGAAGTTCCTGTCACATTCTGGCTCTGTTACCTGTAAAAAAAAAAATGCGACTATCTTTGCAGCTTCTCTCTGTGGTATGCTCGGGTAGAGAGATACCATATCCATGGAGAACAGGCGGGCCCCTCTCAAGACGGGACTTCTAATTTCTGCAATTTTCTTGAGGAAATCCTTTGTATCTTGGATTCTTTCTGGTAGTAGACGTAGCAAGGGGGTTCAAGAGGGCTGTGCAGATCCAGTCTACCGGCCTTGTTGGGGCCCGGCAGCCGCTTAGAACCGGTCTCTCTTGCCCCGTTTCTGTTGTTTTTCTAGTGATTTATGGATCTTTGGTAAAAGGTAGAGGTGGGGGAATGTGGGCTTCAAAGGCTAGGAAGAAATCTCTCGCCCCTGCCTGCATGAGTCATAAGAACATAAGAATCAAGGAAACTGCAGAAGGCCTTTTGGCCCACACGAGGCAGCTCCTATTTTTATCCACTCAAACTCATTCATATACAGTATACTCTATGTCTAACCTACTCTTGAAGCAATCAAGGGATCCATCTTCTATTATGTTATGCAGTAATTGGTTCCACATATAAAAAAAAACAGTGTTGAATGTAAAGAAATTCCTCGTTATGTTGATCATGATGGTGGTGGTGGTGGTGATAATAATAATAAACCCACTAGACTGGCCAGAAATTTTATGTAAATATCCAGTGGAATCAGCAGCAACCAGAACATTGTTTCTACTTTGAAATTTGGAGTGCTATGTATAATAGTGCAAGTGGGAGTGCTATGTATAATAGTGCAAGTGGGAGTGCTATGTATAACAGTGCAAGTGGGAGTGCTATGTATAATAGTACAAGTGGGAGTGCTATGTATAATAGTGCAAGTGGGAGTGCTATGTATAATAGTGCAAGTGGGAGTGCTATGTATAACAGTGCAAGTGGGAGTGCTATGTATAACAGTGCAAGTGGGAGTGCTATGTATAACAGTGCAAGTGGGAGTGCTATGTATAACAGTGCAAGTGGGAGTGCTATGTATAACAGTGCAAGTGGGAGTGCTATGTATAACAGTGCAAGTGGGAGTGCTATGTATAACAGTGCAAGTGGGAGTGCTATGTATAATAGTGCAAGTGGGAGTGCTATGTATAATAGTGCAAGTGGGAGTGCTATGTATAATAGTGCAAGTGGGAGTGCTATGTATAACAGTGCAAGTGGGAGTGCTATGTATAACAGTGCAAGTGGGAGTGCTATGTATAACAGTGCAAGTGGGAGTGCTATGTATAACAGTGCAAGTGGGAGTGCTATGTATAACAGTGCAAGTGGGAGTGCTATGTATAACAGTGCAAGTGGGAGTGCTATGTATAACAGTGCAAGTGGGAGTGCTATGTATAACAGTGCAAGTGGGAGTGCTATGTATAACAGTGCAAGTGGGAGTGCTATGTATAACAGTGCAAGTGGGAGTGCTATGTATAACAGTGCAAGTGGGAGTGCTATGTATAACAGTGCAAGTGGGAGTGCTATGTATAACAGTGCAAGTGGGAGTGCTATGTATAACAGTGCAAGTGGGAGTGCTATGTATAACAGTGCAAGTGGGAGTGCTATGTATAACAGTGCAAGTGGGAGTGCTATGTATAACAGTGCAAGTGGGAGTGCTATGTATAACAGTGCAAGTGGGAGTGCTATGTATAACAGTGCAAGTGGGAGTGCTATGTATAACAGTGCAAGTGGGAGTGCTATGTATAACAGTGCAAGTGGGAGTGCTATGTATAACAGTGCAAGTGGGAGTGCTATGTATAACAGTGCAAGTGGGAGTGCTATGTATAACAGTGCAAGTGGGAGTGCTATGTATAACAGTGCAAGTGGGAGTGCTATGTATAACAGTGCAAGTGGGAGTGCTATGTATAACAGTGCAAGTGGGAGTGCTATGTATAACAGTGCAAGTGGGAGTGCTATGTATAACAGTGCAAGTGGGAGTGCTATGTATACAGTGCAAGTGGGAGTGCTATGTATAACAGTGCAAGTGGGAGTGCTATGTATAACAGTGCAAGTGGGAGTGCTATGTATAACAGTGCAGTGGGAGTGCTGGGCAAGTGCTATGTATAACAGTGCAAGTGGGAGTGCTATGTATAACAGTGCAAGTGGGAGTGCTATGTATAACAGTGCAAGTGGGAGTGCTATGTATAACAGTGCAAGTGGGAGTGCTATGTATAACAGTGCAAGTGGGAGTGCTATGTATAACAGTGCAAGTGGGAGTGCTATGTATAACAGTGCAAGTGGGAGTGCTATGTATAACAGTGCAAGTGGGAGTGCTATGTATAACAGTGCAAGTGGGAGTGCTATGAGTGCAGTGCAGTGGGAGTGCTATGTATAACAGTGCAAGTGGGAGTGCTATGTATAACAGTGCAAGTGGGAGTGCTATGTATAACAGTGCAAGTGGGAGTGCTATGTATAACAGTGCAAGTGGGAGTGCTATGTATAACAGTGCAAGTGGGAGTGCTATGTATAACAGTGCAAGTGGGAGTGCTATGTATAACAGTGCAAGTGGGAGTGCTATGTATAACAGTGCAAGTGGGAGTGCTATGTATAACAGTGCAAGTGGGAGTGCTATGTATAACAGTGCAAGTGGGAGTGCTATGTATAACAGTGCAAGTGGGAGTGCTATGTATAACAGTGCAAGTGGGAGTGCTATGTATAACAGTGCAAGTGGGAGTGCTATGTATAACAGTGCAAGTGGGAGTGCTATGTATAACAGTGCAAGTGGGAGTGCTATGTATAACAGTGCAAGTGGGAGTGCTATGTATGGGAACAGTGCAAGTGGGAGTGCTATGTATAACAGTGCAAGTGGGAGTGCTATGTATAACAGTGCAAGTGGGAGTGCTATGTATAACAGTGCAAGTGGGAGTGCTATGTATAACAGTGCAAGTGGGAGTGCTATGTATAACAGTGCAAGTGGGAGTGCTATGTATAACAGTGCAAGTGGGAGTGCTATGTATAACAGTGCAAGTGGGAGTGCTATGTATAACAGTGCAAGTGGGAGTGCTATGTATAACAGTGCAAGTGGGAGTGCTATGTATAACAGTGCAAGTGGGAGTGCTATGTATAACAGTGCAAGTGGGAGTGCTATGTATAACAGTGCAAGTGGGAGTGCTATGTATAACAGTGCAAGTGGGAGTGCTATGTATAACAGTGCAAGTGGGAGTGCTATGTATAACAGTGCAAGTGGGAGTGCTATGTATAATAGTGCAAGTGGGAGTGCTATGTATAATAGTGCAAGTGGGAGTGCTATGTATAATAGTGCAAGTGGGAGTGCTATGTAAAATACCTTCTGGGAGATAAGTTTATCATAATTCACAAAGCATATTCCTCTCCCTAAGCAATACAGTACTACTATATACCCAAATTCAATTACTAAGTTTAAGTGATGAAATAAGAGTTACCAACTTATGTAAATGGCTGATCTCAGATATATCTGGGATAAGCAATAAGCTCAGGAGTGAGAGTAACCTTAAATACAGCTCTCTTGTGACTGTTCAAGATAAATTATAAGATCATGATTAAATCTTTCCACTGACTCCTTCCTCCTTCCCGTCCCCAGTTTTGTTTTCGAACAGCTTAAGGACAATCCTTTTACTCCTCGTTTGAGCGTTTCTAAGCGCCGCATCCTGGTTGTGTATCTGTGTGTAGGCTGCAGTGTCTGCCAGGTGCCTCTCCATCTCGTGCCTGTAGTTGTCCTTTCTCCAGGTGACGACAGCACCTCCCTTGTCCGCCGGCTCTATCACAATATCTGTGTGTCCTTTCAGCGATGAATGGGCGTCCCTCTCTTCCCTGGGGTGATTGCAGTTGCGTCGTCGTTCCGCACCATGCTTGAGGTCAACCTTCATTTGCCGGATTACTGGTTTAAGGCCTACTAGGTTGTAGTTTGGGCCTACTACTAGTAGCTGTTGGAAAAAATTGTTAACCTCGTAGAGGTCAGATCTTTCCATCATCTTGTGCACTTGGACTGCTATATCATTCTCCTGGAGGAGGTCCTCCGGATTTGGGGTGAACGGCAGGTGTTGGAGTGCCGTCGACCCTGGTCCTGTCCATATTCCCCAGTGAGTCTCAAGAGAGTCCTCCCGTTCAATTGGTTGAGGGACTTGATGATTGATTGATGAAGATTAAGCCACCCAAAAGGTGGCACGGGTATGAATAGCCCGTAAGTGGTGGCCCTTTGGAGCCATTACCAGTATCAAGATCTGATACTGGAGATCTGTGGAGGTGCAACTGCACCCTGCGTGACAGGAGATGTCTCCCGTGACGAGGGACTGACGTAGAGGAGGGTAGAAATAGCCTAAGCTACTCTATCCCTTTGAGATAAACGTACTTGAACTTGAGGGAATAATTACTTCATCCACGTTACATGCCTCCCATGGTGGTGTTAATTGTTTCTTTGGCAACTCATTAATGAAAGACGTCATATTTTGTAACACTAGACCATTAGAGTCTCATATATGCTCTCTTATTATTCTCCCACGTGCAATATTCAGGTCTTCCCATCTTTGGGAAGAGGACTAATTCATAACCTTTCCCGCTTTTCATTAATCTAATCGCTGAAGCTACATTGATCTCTGAGATTTTATCCCCAATACTCTGTAAGTTCAGATTCATCCTCATTATCTCAATCACATCATTTCTTGGCCATCCTAAAATTAAGAACATAAGAACAAAGGTAACTGCAGAAGGCATATTGGCCCATACGAGGCAGCTCCTATCTATAACCACCCAATCCCACTCATATACTTGTCCAACCCGCGCTTGAAACAATCGAGGGACCCCACCTCCACCACGTTACGCGGCAATTGGTTCCACAAATCAACAACCCTGTTACTGAACCAGTATTTACCCAAGTCTTTCCTAAATCTAAACTTATCCAATTTATACCCATTGCTTCGTGTTCTGTCTTGTGTTGATATTTTTAATACCCTATTAATATCCCCCCTGTTATGTCCATTCATCCACTTGTAAACCTCTATCATGTTACCCCTAACTCTTCGCCTTTCCAGTGAATGCAACTTAAGCTTTGTTAATCTTTCTTCATATGAAAAATTTCTAATTTGAGGAATTAACTTAGTCATCCTACGTTGGACACGTTCAAGTGAATTTATATACATTCTATAATATGGCGACCAAAACTGAACTGCATAATCTAAATGGGGCCTAACCAGAGCAAGATATAGCTTAAGAACCACACCAGGGGTTATCTAATATGTCTGACCTACGCATGAAACCATCAAGATATCCTACTTCTCTTATGTTACACGACAATTGGTTCCAGAAATCAAGAACCCTGATACCGAAAAAGTGTTTACCCAGGGCTTTCTTAAAACAAAACTTATCTAATATATTCCCATTGTTTCGTGTTCTGTCTTGTGTTGATACTTTTAATACCCTATTATTATCCCCCTTTGTAATGCATATTCATCCACTTGTACACCTTTATCATGTCACGCCTAATTCTTCGCCATTCTAGAGAATGCAATTTAAGCTTTGTCAATTTTTCATATGACAGGTTTCTAAGTTGGGGGATTAACTTTGTCACCAGTAGTAAAGGGACCTCGTCTTGGAGAGTTGTGAAAGACAGGGGCCTTAAGAAGACTTTGATAAAGCCGCCTTCAAACGCCATAGCAACTTCTAATTCATTTGACGTTTTGGAGGACGAGTGCTGTGGTGAGACTGCGGATCGCGCAAAAGGGAAAGCAACGAAGAGAAAGGAAGCGCAGGCCCCTCAGAAAGTAAAGGTACCTAAGCAAACATTAGTTGTGGGAGATTCCCAGATAAGGTATTTGGATAGAGCGTTTTGTGCTAGAGATAGGGGGAACAGGTTAAGGGTTTGCTATCCCGGAGCTGGCATTGGTGATATTATAAACAACATGAATGATATTATGGCTGGTAATGGGAACAATCCCATTATTTGCATTAGCGTGGGAGGAAATGATGTTGGTCGAGTCAGGAGTGAGGAACTGATTCAGAGGTATAAAACAGCCATAGAATTAGTTAGGAGCAAGGGAGGAATCCCGATCATATGTGGCATTCTTCCAAGAAAGGGAGTGGGAAATGAATGGATATCGAGGGCACTTGGTGTCAATTGCCGGCTGGAAAGATATTGCAAATCAAATGCAATATCTTTCATAGACAACTGGGAACACTTCTATGGAAGAAATGAAATGTATGCTCGTGATGGGGTGCATCTATCGAGAGCTGGGGTTGTTGCTGTTGCGAACTCGTTGGAAGAAGTGGTTAGAGGTGTTTGTTTGGGTTTAAACTGTTAGTAGATAGAGGTATGGGAATTGATTTGGAGGAAGGAGGTAATAAAAGTATGTGTTTGTGGGAGAAAGGAATTGGCAAAACGATCAGGGAAAGAGAAGGTCCGCAAAATAACAATTCACTTAGGGTATATTACACTAACAGTAGAAGTCTAAGAAATAAAATTAACGAATTAAATGCTCTTGTCTGCACAGAAAAAATAGATATTATTGCACTTACCGAAACGTGGATGAATGTAGAAAATAGAGAACTATTAGCTGAATATCAAATATACGGATTTAAACTATTTCACACAGATAGATATATTAGACGAGGAGGTGGAGTAGCCATATATGTTAGGGACAATTTGAAATGTAGTCTCAAAGAGGGAATCAAAACAGAGCCACACACAGAAACTATTTGGATAGAATTAAACGAAAAAGCTAATAATATTATAATAGGAGTAATATATAGGCCACCAAATTTAGACAGAATGGAAGCAAAGCACCTATGGGATGAAATATCTAGAGCATCTAGATCTTACAGTATTTATGTCATGGGTGACTTTAATTTTAGCGGAATAAACTGGTTGAACAAAACAGGGAATAGTGAAGCAGAAGATTTTCTAGAATTAATTGACGATTGCTTTCTTTCGCAACACATTAAGGAACCAACACGGGAAAATAATATTTTAGATTTAGTGTTAACTAACAGGGAAACACAAATTAATGACATCGAAATAGGGAGTGAGCTAGGGAACAGTGATCACAAAGAAATCAGATTTAGCATAGAATGGAATAGACCAGTAGGAGAAAATTCTGTTAAAGTGCCAGATTTTCGAAAAGCTGATTTTAATAGCCTAAGAAATTTTTTGGGTCAAATTGATTGGAAAGTCTTGGGTATGGGGTGTGGGCCGGTCTTGGAGCGAGACATGAACCCAGCGATAGGTGACTTAAATGGGGATTTCGATGTGGATTCAATATATAACTTATTTAAGAATATTCTAAACAAAGCACAGGAACGTAGTATACCATACAAATTGAATAGATCGTATACTAATGACCCAAAGTGGATAACAAAGAATTTGAAGAACCTTATAGGTAAAAAGAGAGCTTGGTACAAAAGGATTAAAAATGGGGAGGTCACTTTAGAACAGGAATTCGTACAACTGGTTAGAAATGTTAAAAAAGAGATAAGGAAAGCAAAAAGAAACTATGAAGTTCGCATAGCAGGGCAAGCAAAGACAAATCCTAAAGGGTTTTTTCAGTTATATCGTACTAAGACTAGGGAGAGGATAGGTCCATTAAAAACTGATACAGGTCAAATAACAGATAGTGATGAAGAGATGAGTAGTATTTTTAATAAATATTTTGTATCTGTATTTACTAAAGAGGAACTTAACAATATGCCTTCAGCTGAACAAGTCTATGTGGGTGGGGACGAGGACAGGTTGACGAGTTTAGCAGTTACCAGGGAGGATGTTCTTAAACATATAGTAAAACTCAAACCAAACAAATCCCCAGGGCCGGATGAAGTGTTTGCCAGGGTGCTTAAAGAATGCAAAGAGGAGCTTTGTGACCCACTGTCGACCATTTTAATAAATCAATAGAGTCAGGCAGAGTGCCAGAGTTTTGGAAAGTTGCTAATGTGATACCAGTTTTTAAGAAAGGAGATAGATCACTTGCGTCTAACTATCGACCAATTAGCCTAACGTCTATTGTGGGAAAGTTACTCGAATCTATAATAGCAAATAAAATTCGTCTTCATCTTGAAAAACATAAATTAATAATTGAGTCTCAACATGGTTTTATAAATGGCCGTTCATGTTTAACAAATTTGTTATCTTTTTATTCTAGCATTGTTGAGGCAGTTGATAGTGGTAAGGATTGCGATGTTGTATACCTTGACTTTAGCAAAGCTTTTGATACAGTGCCACATGAAAGACTGATTAAAAAGATAGAGTCTCATGGTATTGGGGTGCTATATTAAGCTGGATTAGGGCATGGCTATACCAAAGGAAACAGAGAGTTAGTAT